GCCGCGCCCGGCCGGGCAGCGCCGCCCGGCCCCGCCGCGCTGCCGCGGGCTGGAGCTCTGCCCCTGCACCTCTAGCGGCAGGGCCGCCCACTGAAGGGGAGAGAAAACAAACGCCTACTTTCCGTTTTAAATTCTTTGCCATAGCATTAGTAGCATATATTAAATGGCACAATTTGACTTGTGAGGTCTCTTAGGAGGAACATGAGGATATGCGTTTCTTTGGATTGGAGGAACCGGAAGAAGTCGTCTTCCTAGCACACCTGCTTTTAAACTCAAAGGTATAGCTGTAAACAAACAGATACCACATTCTCCTTGGACATTGATATGCCCACCTAGAAACTTATCCAACATAACTGCAAACTCTTTAGGCTAAAAACCTCGTATCAGACTCCCTACTCCCCAGCCAGCAGCACCACAAAGAAGAAAGGAAGGTGAAAAGACATTAAAGGCCTACAATGGGGAGAAAGAGGACAGCATTTTTTCTCAATTACACCCTTGCAACCCTACTCCAAAGAATTACCAGAAGCATATTTCACGACCTCGTTTGTGATAATCTCAAAGCGGCTGTACCCTTCTACACAATCACCATCTCCAACAGATGCCACCTAAAATCTTAGCTGAATGAGAAAACAATCCTCACCCAAACACCAACTAATTTGGTTTTGGGTGTAGCTGTAGAGTAAGTAACAGACAGCAACAGGTTTCCCTGAAAAATTTAGGGATACAGAGGGAATCCTCATTTTATTACTCCCTCTGCACTTTGATCCTCCAAATCCAGCCCTGCTTGAACAGCATGCAGGGAATGCTCTACAGATAGAAGCTTTTAGTCCCCTGTCCACTGCCAGCAGAATCTTGCACTGGGTTTATTCCTGACAGAGGAACTTTTAGCTGGCTGACCTTAGCTCCTGTCCCTGAGGCCCATCTTCCAATGCAGTCTTTGCACAGTTAGGGGTCTTCTTTGGTGCTACAGCAATGAGAGAAATCAATTTACTTATCTTGAAAGTTACAGTCAGAAATGGAGAAGTGTTTTAATCTCTGGTTTTATGGAGCACCACTGAGTGTGAAAGACTTTCAATCTTTTATGTCCATATCAAGGGTTAGAAAAGTGCTCCAAGAGCATGGGGGAAAAAAAAAAAAACTAAACAAAACCAAAAATCACTAGAGGCTAACCTAAAAAGTGAAAATTCCAAACCGTCTAGTACTGACATGAGGCAGCCTCAGACTTTCAGTTATTTCACTATGAAAACAGGTAGCAACGCAAACATAGGAAGTTTAGAGCAGAAGTTTCAGAATGTGCCAGTGAGGAACATTCTCCAGGTTATGATCTGTTGTTTACATTGAATGCTCCACTGAGCATTTACCCTAAATTATTTCATTTTTGTACACCTGACATAATCCTCGTGACTTCTGAAACCCATTTAGAAGAAGAAAAACTCAAGTAATTAACTTCCAAACCACATCACAAAAGACCAACTAAAAAAAGATTCCTAATATATAATAAATATGGTAAAATTAAGACAAGTTTGCTGAATAATGCCAGGGCATCATTCAGTATCTTCTATTGCTAGCCATGTGTAGTTCTTGCAAACATAGCTGTGCTGGTTTTATTCAGCAGCTGTGCATTCTGCAGTCCTAGGTGCTCTCAAATTTGCCTGCTGCATTACTTTAAATTCAGACCTACCTGCATTGTTTTAAGCTACTTTAGCAAAAACTCATGGCTACATACTGCCTGGAGTTACAAATCCAACTGATGACCTTTATAGTAACAAGCATTTATTTACCAATCCTGGAATTTTCATGCAACAGCTAACAATGTCTTTTGTGGCCAAACTTTGTACCTTTATACTTCAACAGAAAGCTGTAGTTTCAAAAATGCTATATTAGGATTTCAGCAACATGGCCATGACTAATGTGTGATTACTGAGAACTGTGGTATCTTTCTCCTTTACCTTCACCTCCTGTACCCCCCTCAATTATTAGCATTTTACTTTACATTTTTTTTAATAGCTTGCATAAATGACAATAATCAAAATAAAACTGCAATATATCACAGTGAAAAAGGGGTCCTATTACTTCCCATTTTGAAATACATATATTTTTATTTCAGAGATTTTTGGGCAGCCAAAAAAGTAATCAAAGTACTCCACCCTCTCCTTGTTTTACTAGCTAATCTTTGACATGACTCTCGGGCTGAGAGAAGAGCAGTAAGTGCATATCTCAAACTTCGCCCACCTCCAGAAGCACAGTCCCACAACCATTTCAACCATTTAGTTTTCAAAAAGTAAGTGGTTGAAACTCTTCAGCCTTACAGCACCCGGCAGAGAAGATCAGCCGCTATGTTTTTACCGTGCCCGCTGTTTTCCCCTTACCTTGCACAGCGATCCAAGGGTCTCCTTTCACATACGTGTAGCCGAAAAAAACCCCCAGCGCTCCAAGGCTTCTTCTCCCGGAGCCATCTCATCTGTATTCCTCGGGAACGGACTTACTGTGCTCCTCTTGTCCGAAGCAGCTGCTATCTCGGCTAACCCACCTTCTTCTCAGATCGCTCATAGTGAAAACATTCCTCACTTCCTGTCTCAAAAAACTTGCTCTGGATATCATTCCACTGGGTAAAGAGCTGGGGGGTGGAAGGAAATACTACAACAAAATAAACCTGTGCCAGCCAGCTCTTCAGGCGGCCTCTTTCATGTGACGCTGTGCCGCATGAGCGCAAATTGCCTTCTCAGAAATATTTTCAGATCGGCCGTCCCTGTGTGCCTCTGTGTGTGTGCATTTAATTCCTTTTCCTGGAGGCGTTCCCCTCGCTCTATCCATGCGGAAGGATACGCTGAAAGAATTAAAGCGAAGGCCCGTATGCTTGTAGCCCATTACCTCAGAGAGTTGGAATGCCTGGCAGGGAGAATGTCAGCAATGAACAGCTGCTTCTCTGGCTACAGGGGCACTACAGAAATAGGGGTTACAACAAATAGCAGGCAATCCTTGCTTTTTTTAATCATATGATCATTTATTTTAAGGCTTTCCAGTTAAGGCAAATGTCTTACCAAAATTCTGTTGGTCTTGTTTTCATGCAGCTAGGAAATATTTTCAAGGTTTAATCCCTGTGTGCTTTACCAAATGACCTATGCACATACATTTATGTCCTTGCAAATTTTCAGCTGTTAGTGAGATACACAGCAAAAAAATGCAGACTAAAGGCTGATCTTTCAGCCTGTCTGGACTTAAAAACTCTCAAAGGTGTCAGTAGAAATTATACCCTTAATAACAATTGTCTTAGCAAGCTTTAACTGCATATAAATTCAGGAATATTTATACTGTTTAACTAATGCAAACACCATAAGAGGGGCTGTGCTCCAGTCTCACAAGTATATGAAGACCTCAGTGTGTGTTTGTGTGCACTTGAAATTAACAATTGTTGGCTGCAATTTGGAATATTTGCTCTCCACATTGAGTAAACCAGGCAAAAATTGATACAAACATGGAACCAGTCAGGGATGAGGAAAAAGATAAGTGAGTATGTGAACACTGACTAATAACTGTAAAACCTAGAAAGTGTTTTGGTAATGTGAAGTGCACAAACATGCTACTGTCTGAGCAGGTCTAACCTGCAGGTCAACTATGCAAATAACAAGTTGCTCACAAGGACACTAATCTCAGCCGAAATATGTAGGTAATTTTGTACCATAATGAATTCTTCTGAGTTATTCCTCCTAGACACAATCATCTGCCCTGAGATCAGAGGAGCATCTCTTTTTTTTTTCTCCCTCCATACATCAGCAATAATTATGATGAGCTGTCCATAAGCAATATATACAACATTATTTGGGGGAATCTTATGATGAGTAAAATAAATTAACCTTGAACTAGACTTCATAAATACCCTTTTCTAAAGGTATCTGCTAAAGGACAGAACTGCAGTTACTTGCTGAAGAAAACTGACTGATACAATGTATGAAAAATACAAGCCATGAAAATTCAGGGTTACAGAGGCAACCCCTCCTATTTCTAAACAATTCATGCTGGGAAAAAAGTCTGAATTCTCTTACCTGTCACATTTCATATTCTAATTCTTCATCATACCCTTTTTCTGCCTGATTCCCTGCCTAGAAATTGCATTTATTAGACTTCCCTTGTTTTCCATAGTTAGTTCTTGCTGCATTTTCATTCTTTACATTAAAAACACCTCATCTTAAAAGAGATGGCTACGACATTGTAAATATGTTCCTCTGCAGCTTACATCTCCTTTTGAAGCTCATCACATTTGTATTCACAAATAATATTTTTTCTTCTGCTTTTTCCTTCTTATAACCCCAGTTTGTGTTCAATCTTTGTGGCTTTCCACACTTTCTCCATATTGCCCCACCTCATTCTTTTTATCTCACCACCTCTATATTATCTGCTTTGCTCCATCTATCAACTCTAATAAAAGGAACAGAGACAAAGGCATCCATGAACATGTGATAGACTCTGGTAAAGACACATCAATAAGATGTAGAGTGATGACCTGAAAGCACAGTACTGAGCTTCTGCTTCCCCCTTTAAGCCCTGACCAACACTCATGACACTCATGGTTCTTGACCTCATCTTTGCAATACTCTCTATTCTGTTGTTGAAGTTTAAGTGAGGAAATAAATAATATCCCAGAGTTGAATTTTGTACCCTTTGTTCTATAGGTACAAGGGAAAGTTTCTACCCACTGGGTTGAATATGGACTGCCCACAGCAGAACAGGGATAAACCTATGGGTTTTTTTCTCAGAAAAAGGGAGACATCCTCCTTCTGAGACAGATTTTTGAAGGGTTGTTTTGTTTTGGTTGGGTTTTTTTTTCCATATTGGTCCAAATGTGTGATTGCAGTTTAATTGTATCAGGCAATATGTGGAAGTTGATGCAAATATTCACTTTATTTCAATTCCACAGAAACTCTCCAGCATCTGGTCTTTGTATTAACTGAAGGTAAAACAGAAAGTTGGAAGCAAGCCAAACAAGAAGCAGAATCAGGCACCCTCCAGGCAGAAAAGTGGTATGCAAGTATATACTGCTCAGCCTAGTGAAGAGTTATCCCTTTGTGATAAAAACATAGGCAGGATAACCCGGAAACTGCTAGCTAAAGGGGCTTTCCCACAGTACTGAGAAAAAGAAGAAGTCATGTGGGAAAATATCTTAATTTACACCATGTAAAATAGTAACATCATGAATTGAAAAGTAAGAATAATTCTAATTCTAAATCCGAAAGCTGCTTTCTAAACAAATTCATTTTATTCATCATGTTTTGGTTCTGAAGCCTTCCTGCTTTTTCATCATTCTATTTCTTATTTGCAAGAAAGCAGGACATAGCTGGGTCTTTATGCATCATTACATATTTTTGATGGTAGTAGAGAGGAGTGCTAGAAAAATGACCATACCTTATGTCTACTTCATGCTTGAAGCCTGCAATTTCATGTGTACGTGATTCATTTTTACTTACAAGGCACTGTAAAGTGTTGAACATGTTCTACTAAGTGACTAATTAAGGTATAGAATTTTCCAATTAGAGGAAAACAGGCAGTTTTCCTTCACAGAATGTAGTGCTGAACATAAAGAAATGAGCTCCTGCTATTATTCATAAAGGAAACTTCCCTCAAACACAGTAGCTTTTTCTAAAGTAAGTCCTTAACTTATGAAATAAACTTAATTCTTTTTTCTGTACTGCGATAATTATTTTGCTTTTTCCAATACTACAACATAGTACAACATAATTGAAATCTTAAAGCAAAATGTGTCTCTTAAAAGGTTAAAATGCAATGGTGTAATTAAACTGATTTGTTATTAATTCCCTCTTACTGTAACACTAATATATTATAAGTAGAGTCAGGCAAACAGCTCAGATCATTAGCAATAATTAGTCTAAGCTATCTCTGTATGATGTTTGATTTATATTAGGAACAGTGATGCAGAAAGGGATTAATACAGCTGTTAACTACAATGCCTGGAGTTTATTTTAATCAGTGGCATTACTTGTAAAAGACTCTTTATCTGTAGGCTGGGCTTTCTATAATATGACTACTCATTAAACCAGCTGAAGTGAATCTGAGGCATTTATCTTGTGCAAAAGATAAATTATTTGCCTCAAACATTACTTCTTTTTTGCTTACTATAATGCTTACCTTGTAGGCTTGTCTCCACATAGTTCTTCCTCCCTCTGCAACTAATCCCTTTTAGCAGTAAGAGATGCCTGTACTGGGTGTGTGTGGCTGGTTTTGGTAGTGGAGGGACTACAGGGGTGATTTCTGTGAGAAGCTGCTGGAAGCTTTCTCCATGTCTGATGAAGAAAATGCCAGCCAGCTCCAGGATGGACCCTCCACCGGCCAAGGCCATGCCCATCACTGGCCCTGGTAGCGCCTCTGGAATGACATTTTTAAGAGGGTAGAAAAGTTATTGAGCACAAGCAAATTCCAGCCAGAGAGAGGAATGAAAATATGTGATAGGCTCTACAGGAGCCAAGGTCAGTGCAGAAGGAGGGGCAGGAGGTGCTCCAGGCATTGAGCATTCCAAGCTGAGAGTCCCCTGCAGCCCATGGTGAAGACCATGGTGAGGCAGCTGAGCCCTTGCAACCTGTGGAGATGAACAGGGGAGCAGAGATCCACCTGCAGCCTGCAGAAGACCCCACGCAGGAGCAGATGGATGCCTGGAGGCTGTGGATGTGTGGGAGGCCCACGCTGGAGCTGGCTCCTGGCAGGACACGTGGCCTTGTGCAGAGATGAGCCCACACTGGAGCAGGTTTGCCGCTGGGACTCGGACCCTGTGGGACCCGCACTGGACTGACCCGCGGAAGGGACCCGTGGCGAGGCAGTTTGCGAGGAGCTGCAGCCCATGAAAGGATTCACGTTGATTCACGTAGCAGTGAGTGTGCAGTGCTGGTGGCAGACTGCTTCTACTGGAGCAGGAGAGGAGGAAACAGTGTCAGAGAAAACAGGTGATGAACTGATCATGACCCTCATCCCTGTTCCCTGGTGTTGGGGGGAGACAGGTAGAGAATCAGGAATAAAATTAAACCCAGGAAGAAGGAAGGGGTGCTGGGAAAGTGTTTTAAAATTTGGGTTTGTTTCTCATTATCCTACTCTGATTTGATTGTTAATTAATTGATTGTTAAAAAAACTAATTTCCCCAACTCTGTTTTATCCATGACAGTAATCAATGAGTGAGGTCTCCTGTTGTTGTCAACACATGAGGCTTTCTGTTATAGTTTCTCTCTCCTGCCCTGATGAGAAGAGGGGGTGGCAAAGAGGTTGTGGTGGGCACCAGGAAACCTTTATAGCTGTAGTGCTGCATTAAGTTACTTGAATACTTTGCGTATAGCTATTCCATAATTTATTTGTTTTTTGACAGGTAGGAGTATTTAATTTGCGTAGCTCTCGAGAAGAGCACTAACACTGAAAGGACCCCGCAGTCGTGGTTCGGCACCGCCGGCACGCCGGCACTCTCTCTGCGGGGCGGTGAGCGCCGCCCCGCCGCGCCCCGCCCGCCCTCCCCGGCTCCCGCGGTGCGGCCGCCGCCCGGCAGGGGGCGGTGCCGGCGGAGGCTGCGCGCTGAGCCCGAGCGGCGCTCGGTACCCGCGCGGGCGGCGGTGGGAGCCGGGCCGGGCCGGGGCAGGCGCAGCGCGGCCATGGAGATCGGCACCGAGATCAGCCGCAAGATCCGGGTGAGACAGAGGCAGCCGGGTCGCTCCGCCCGCCCGCCCGCGGCAGGAGGCCGGGCCCGCAGGGAGGCAGGCCTAGCTGGTGGCTGAGGCACCGGGCTCCGGCCGCCCCCCGCCCCCGTCACGGCTGCCGGCAGCGGGGCCCTTCGGCCCGCGGGCTCCGCGGGAGGGCGGGAGCAGCAGTCGTTCGTGTGGGAGGCGGCGGCGGCGTGCCCCTGTCCCCCTCGGGCCGCTGCTCGCCGTGTCCCCGGGCTGTCGCCCTGCAGAGCTCGCCCGGCCGCGGGGCTGCTCTCACCTGTGCCGGGTGAGAGCCCTCGGTACCGGCAGGGCCTGTCAGCGGCTCCACTCGCGCAAATCCCGGCAGGCTTCTGTTGCGCTGCTGAGCTGGGAATTACCTGGTATCAAACCATCTTAGACTAGTTCTCTTTGCACCTTGTGAGTCCGGCTGGTCTCTGCTTAAAAAAAAAGACAGCTGGGACTTGGAGGTTGAATGGTAGCGCCAGGAACTGGTCTGTCGGAAGTGCGGTGCGGGGTGAGATTCCGTTCCTCTGCTGCCAGCCCCTCCCTGTTGGAGCGTTCCTATCCTGAGCAGCAGAGAGCACGAAAAGTTTAACACGTTGAACCAATGTGTTCAAACAGTAAGTGAGAGAAACTTTGCTAAGCCTCCCACCTGTTTGCAGTTAGAAATACTTTGTTGATCCATCCCTTAAACAATATTTCATTATTTTTTAGGGTGCTATAAAAGGAAAGTTACAGGAGCTGGGGGCTTATGTTGGTAAGTTTTGCCACGTGTTCAGCAATTTTCTCTAGACAATTTTTGTTAATGTAGGAAAAAAACCCAGCTTAGCTAATGGAACTTACTATTGCCTGTGTTACTGCCTACAGAAGCCTTAAGCATGAGAAGAATTACCTGAAGTGCTGGACTAGTGAGAAAGAGGCATACTTCACAAAATATTACTCTAAGCATAAGAGGAAACAGTATGTGAACATCAGTATATGAAAAACTAAAAGAAAATAACTAACAATTCAGTCTAATAGTCCTCCCCTTTAGAAATGGTGGCAAGGGATTTGAAAGAAAAACAAACCATGATGTGAATATCTAAGGAAATTGCTTTGAAGCATTAGGAGAAACATTACATAAAGCAAGAGCCTTGGAAATACAGCAGCAGTTAGCTGTGACCACTCTGAGATGGAATCAGTCTTTCTTAGGCATATTTTTATTAGCTCTTGAATTCAGGGTGAGGCATCGTTGAAATAAGAAGAGAGGACAAAGATGAGTGAGTGGCTTAGGAAATTAAAAGGCCACATCAGAAACATTATGTGGGACAAACTTTTAAAATGAATGAGCTATGTAGAGCTAGTGATGCTGAAATACCTGTATCTGATACTTGGAGGCAGGGGGAGGTTTTATTTTGGTTTGTGACAGGAGGGTGAGCCGTATAAGCATCTGTGGTCTTATGGTTTGTTTGTTTTTTCTGAATCTGTGAAGAAATGGATATTGCATTTCAGAGCAGCCCTTCTCTGCAGCAATAGAAGTTGGTAACTTAACACAGCATTCTGTTGGAAACAAAATACCTCAATCCTGAAACTGCATTGTTGTTGTCTGTGATGCTTATTGGATTTCAGGTGAAGAAAAGGACTTAAGAGCATAATTTAGAGATTCTGTGAGTTGCAGGGCCAAGTTCAAAAATTGTTTGAGCCCATATTCATCTTCTTTCCTATTTCAAGGGAGGCATTGTATTTATGGAAAAATGTATTGACTCCATAGAAGGGAGTTGCCTATGAGCTGACATTCTGAACTCAGCTGGTGCCTAGGAACTGTGTTTAGAATTTTTTAATTGTAAAATCATCTCTTTCACCATTTCAAAGCTTGTTTTTTTAAGTAACTCATTTTTTGTTTTTGTTTGGTTGGGGCTCTTTTACCATCATTCCAGGTTTCAATTTCTCAGTCCTTGACTGTTTGCTTTCTCCTGTATTTTTGAAATAAAAGTCTTGTCTCTAATACTGAGATGCTGGTAGAATACTAGCCATCTTTGATTCCAGCTATGACTATTCTTTCTTTCTTTGCCTTCTGTTTCTTGTATTCAGAGGACAGTTTTCCTGTATTGCCAGGATCAGCAATGTCTGCAGTTTCTTCTAAGTCAGCTTCTGAACTTCTTTAAATAACGTTGTATTCTTCATTGCTAAATCTGTCTTGGCTTGGCCTCTTTTTTCTTTTTAAACTACTGTTTCCAAATGTCTGTGATTTTACAGTTTTTTTTTTCTTGACTGGAGTATTTTGGACAACTTTTAAAGTAATCTTTTTCAAAAACTCTCCATTTCTTCTTTCAGGTAACTTGTAAAAAGTTGGTTGTTCCTTCTTCTAGCCTCTGCACAAGAACCATCCTTTTGTTTCTTTCTGTAACTGCTAATTCTTTTCTCTTGAAAAGTCTTCTACAAGAAGATGTTTTAAAACCTATTTGTTGTGTAGAGCTTACAAAGGAAATATTCATGTATTTTAAGTAAGATGAAGTCAGTTAATTATTTACCAGCTAAGAAATTTTTCAAAAGGCTGTAGTTCCACATACAGTTTAATTTGGCATAAGCCAACACAGTTACTAAGAAAGTTTCTTTCCTTCTTCTATCATACTGTTGGACATAATTGTGCTAATTTATGTTTTTGTCTGTACATAAAATATCTTTTTTACTTTATCATGTGTTGAAACACCTGAAGAGCTTATCATGTTTAAAAGTAGCTTGGCTGATAAATAAAATTCATTCTAAGGTCCTAGGTCTGAACATTGGTCCATCTTATGTAACTTGTAGTTTGCAGTGAAAAAGAAACCCAAACACAAAGCAGCAACAACAAAATCTGAAACAAACAAAAACCTGCCAAAAAGAAGTAAGGGTTTAAGCTCTGAAAGGGTTGTTTGGACAATTGAGTAGTGGTAGTGCAGGTACAATGTGTGAATGGTACTTTTGTAGTCTAGGGGAGAGGTAAATTATTTACAGTGTACATAGATATAGAAGAAAGGCAATTCCTTTTGTTTGGATTTTGATTTCTATTTTTCATTTTTAGGTCTTTTTAGTGCTGTATCTTAGCTTGATTAAATAAGCTCAGCTGTATATTAGTGCCTTGATTCAGATTCATAATTTGAGGTATTTCCCACCTGTTTGCTCTTACTGTTGTTATGTTCATGTCATGCCATGGAGTGGAATTGGAGACCATGAGTTGTTTGATTAAACTAAATTGAAGTCAGTGCTCAAGAAGCACAGCTAATGCCTTTGAGCAACAATTGTGGCAGTCAGTCCTTCAGCAGAGGCCAGAGGTAGACCAAGGCAAAATGGCAAACACCAAACTCCCCAAGCCCTTAATGTGGTAATGCCAGGCTCTAAGCACCTTCTTATGCATTCTGAGGAGTGGGAGTGCCTTGTGCACAAGGCAATGGGTTTCTCACTGTGTATGAAATTCCATGCATTACAGGCTAGAAATTCAGTCTTGAGGTTACTGAAATTTGCTTTATTTTTGTAGTAGAAAATCTGGAAGTTAATAGAGTTTTGATTTGTTTAATGCACATATCAGAAATGGATATTTATTTCTTTACTTTTTGTAGCTAAAGGAAATTTGACAAGGATAAGGTGCTTTATTTGGCAATATTTGAGGTGATTAATATTGTAGATGTTTGCTAGTATTCAAGAAAAAGGATATAGGCAGCAGAGTGGCTTTCTTTTATTTTGTCCTTCTTTCTGTTCTGTTTACTCACTTTTTAAATACACTGATCTTCAGCTTATGCTCTTGTGAAGTTGATGATCTTTTATTCCTTGCTTGTAAATGAGACTTGTATTGAACCTCAGATGAAATGGAAGTCTTGTTAATTCGCTTACCTAATCCTCTGCCTGAACAGTCTTTGTAATAAGACAGACAAAAAAATTGGTTACTCCTTTAGAGATGTTTACTATGTCTTCCATGATTTATTATGCTTTAAAACTACATGTTTCTCTTTCTATTAGATGAAGAGCTCCCTGATTATATTATGGTTATGGTGGCCAATAAGAAGAGTCAAGAGCAGATGACAGAAGACCTTTCCCTTTTCCTTGGAAACAATACTGTCAGGTTTACTGTCTGGTATGTTTGCAAGCTACTTTTTGCACTTCTTATCAGTAGTGCAGGACTGTTTTCTGTAAGTGACACCTGACATTTAAAAAAGTTATTTATCTTCCCATTGTGTAATTTGCATTAGTAAAAACTCCTACTTTTCATGTCTAATAAGTACATTAGTTTTAGTCTGTCAGCAGTTAGGCTTTTGAGGTGATAGTTAGAATGCAAAGGACTGGAGGATGTATTTGTTTATAAACCGGTTAGATTTGTAAATAAAGTGCTCAGATAAGTGAGGGCTGTATGTTGACTTAAAATTATTCCTGCAAAAGCGCCTTGTGAGCATGTGAGCATTCTTCACTGCAGTTAGATGTGAAGAACCAATCTGTTTGCTTTTATGCTAACAGTGCTTCAGGTTGCTGTGCATGGGAATTACTATATCAGGGCAGATGAGCATTGGATCTAATTCTGTGTACTGTCTTTGACAGGGCTTAGCACTAAATGCTTAGGTATTCCCACCTCTCAGGCTATTTATTTATTGCCACCACCCAACTCTAAAAATCAAAAGTAGAACCTCCGAATTACTGTGAACAAGACAATTAACAACACTTCAACTCTACTGTCAGCTCCTGACAATGAAGGTTCATTTATTCCATGCTGCATGACAAATGTAGCCATTCTATTTCTCATGCATTTTCTAATACTGAATTTATTTTACAGTAGAAACCTGTAAATAAATCAGACATTTGACTCTAGAGATTTTGTTGCTTTGAGTTGTGTATTTTTTCAAGTTAATCTTATTTCTGAATCTCCTACCTAATAGAGATTTCAGGAACATTATCTTGTTTTGTATAGATGAGAAAAATCCTACAATTTTTTTCTTTTTCAGTTTGCTTTCTTTGACATTTTCATACTGACAGTTTACATTCACTTCCAATATTTCTTCTATGTAATTACTTCCTAGGAGCTTTTATGTTATTGAATAGTGGAGAGAAACATTTTAGAAGTTGGCTGTGTTATGAAATCATAAATACTGACAAAAAATGAAAAATAGTTCCAGCTATTACAATTCACTGTATTAGCTATTTAAACTGATGTATTTCCAGGTGATAGTGTAACTTGTGTGGATATAGTTCAATTTTACTTACACAGGTGTCATTTTTCTCCTGGCATTTTTCAAAAATACAATAAAAGAGTACAGTTAAGCACGGACCTCTTTTTTGAAAACTGCACAGGCATTTCTTTGCTGCCTCTTGTGGCCTACCTAGGTGAACCTTTTGGGTTTCAGTGTATCAGGAAATCATGCAGTTGTCTTTCTCATACTAGTTTTAGGAATCAGACAAATCAGAGAAGTTTACAGGTGGATGAGGATGTAGCTCCTGTACTATGATTTTGACTGAATCCTGATATACAGTAAGAAATAGTGTAGCAGGAAACACTTCCATGGCTTTCTAAATAAAACTAAAATTTTATTGAAAGAATAATATATATGTAGAGAAGGCAAATTTCAGCAAAGAAATCAAGATCATTTTATATATTTATATTTAAAATTATGTGTTAACTATATGCATATATTATACCACCAGCTGGTTTTGGCACCTGCTTAAATTTTAACCACAGTGACTGTTTTAACCCCAAGTCAGTATTCTCATATATATATATATAATCTATACACAAACTCAATGTTAAGAGTGCTCTATCAGGTACCAAAGTAGGTATTGGTTAAAAGAAGGATGGACAAGAAGACAAGATGAAACCTACGAATAAGCTGTAAGGGGACTGGTGGAAAAGTGTTACATACCATTGTAGCTGGGAATTTTATATGTTTTTATTTCTTCTAAAGACAACCCAAAATGTATATGTTCTTAAATGTTGGTTAAATACAGTACTCAGCAAGATCTGCCTTCCTTGGTCTGTCTCTCTGGCTGGTAATTTTGGGCCTCCTGGCAAAAGTTTCGCAGCAATTGTGACAAACTTGGCAATCCTGCTGGTCGGCCGCCACTTCTTACTCTGAACCAAGCATCAGATCAGTTATCCTGAGGCCAGTGTGAAAACTGAGCTGCATCACCAGAGTTCAGCTGACAAGTGTTCTAGTGAAAGCTCACAAGGAGAACAAGTATAAGCCTTCATTATACCCACATGCAGTCTTTTCAATATGTTCTTGTCCCTTAGCTCATTTCTAATATTCAGCCTAAATTAGGGACTTGCCCATTATCAAGGTTGAATTCCAAGTAAGATATGAGTTTAAGTGTTGGGACTTTTTTTATTTCTTCTCAGTGTAATACGTGTTTATTTTTGAGCAGCCTTATTGTATTAGAGTCATGTCATTTTCTGTGTTACTTCAGGTTAGTGCCTTTTTCACAGGCAAAGGGCAAATTTGGTACTTTGCTGAGATATTTTTGCTCACCAGCACATCTCAGAGAGTATTGTTGGTATATACAAACCATCCTGGAAGAATCCTGAGAATTTTACATACTATGCGTTGTATACTGTTCGACTCTACTGTGTAATTAAATTTTCATGTTCAAAGTAAAATTTTAGGCTATGCTTTAGGCTTCTAACTTAGGTTTCTTGAATCAATATTTTTGATATTTAACTCCATTGATTGTAGTGAAAAGTGGATAGTATTGGCTTTGATTATGTAAACCAACTAAATGTCAAAAGTAGATGATGTGATGGATACTCTGTCTGCATGTGCAAGACATACTGGAAGCAAGGTACTTTAAGCCTCCCTTTTGAGGTTAAACATACTCAGTTGATGGAAGCTGAGGTCTTAAGGGTGGAAAGGAGGTGGGTTTCTGAAAAATGATTAGTCTCTTATCTATCTATAGATAGATATCTATATATAATAGATATCTCTATTAGTCTGAATGTAAGTTAAAGTTTTTATTTCTCCTTTTTCTTTTTGCGTCCTTCCCTGTCTGCTGTATATTTCAGGCTCCATGGTGTTTTGGATAAGCTGCGATCTGTGACTACTGGTAAGTAAGAAAATTAAATTTTGAGTGAAGGGAGGCTTATTTTTTTCTGTGTAGTGTTACATGTCTGAGTTGCAAAAATATCTTGGCTGTTTTGTTAATTTTTTGTTTATGTGGTTTAATGTAAAAGTGAAAAGTACCTGTCTCCACAGAACCAACCAGCGTAAAATCTTCAGAATCTAATGTCTTTGAGAGCAACCTGCCTTCCAGCAAAAGCAGTTCATGTGTGGGTGATGAGAGGAGGCGTGACGATATCTTGCCACCTCTTGCAGTGTCAAGCACTCGGACTGAAAGAAATGACTCCAGAGTTTCAACCAGCTCACAGGAACAGAGGAACACTGCTTCCAGGTAAGGCTGCTGGCTACTTCCTAACACACCTTCAGACATCAGTAGTTGTGTGAGTGTAGTAGCCATTCTAAAGAGTACAGACACTTGGAAAGATAAAAGTACTTTTGAACAGTAAATCATTGCTACAATTTGTTGTACAAAAAATACTAAATCAGAACAAATCAGTTATTTAAGCAATATGGGCTTAGATTAGTTAACCAAACTGAAAATATCAGTGTGTTAAATTTGTATAAACAGTAATACCTTAATGATTCTTCCCTCCTGGCTTTGATTAAAAGACATTTCTCATTTTCCAGAACTTGACTTGGAGATAACAGTTGTCGATTTCTTTTTTTATCAGGCAGTCTTGTGAAGATGGTTCTGCATCCTGTTTAACATCCACTGTCAAGCCTTTGAGGGAATTGTCACCTTCTGAAGCTGTAATTGACATTAAACCTGAACCAGATGATCTAATTGATGAAGACCTAAACTTCATGCCAGAGAATCCTTTGTCACGGAAGAAACCCATTGTGACTGTAACTTACGGTTCCTCTCGTCCCTCGGCCGAGATCTACCGGCCACCAGCTGTCAGGGGTGCAGAGGGCAGCGTTCACGTGTCCAGATTGTCACAACAGGGCAGCTTGCAGGGGAGCCGCCAGTTGGACACACAAGGCTGCAGGTCTTTGGAAAAAGGCCAGCTGTGCAATCCAGAAGCATTTGGCAGCTTAGCAGAAGGTCACAGACCCACCTCCAAACTCGGTGCTGATAAAGTGGCCAATGAGGTTGGTACAACCTTGACTATTGCAAAAGTTTATTCTTGTTAGGAACCTAAATTGCTATGTACACTTCAGTAGAATCTTGACCTCAGAGAAATCAAAAGACTTACGTCAGTGGTACCAGTAAGTTTGAGATTCCACCCTTTTGAGTCCAAAACAGATTGCATAATTTGATATCATTATCTGAGAGCTTGCTGCATCTCAGATTTAATTACCATGTACATTTTCATGTCATATTGACTTGGACTAACAAGTTTGCACATTGTTGAGCTGCATATGATGAATCAGAAATTATAATACTGATCTTCAGATCATTGAACCAGCATGATTTTCCCTAAGTGCTATGTACACCCCCAGCTTTACACAGTCCTGTAAATCAGGATTTTTGGCAAGCTGTTTATTAGCCCAGATACATTGATGATGAGGATTATTAACACTATTCTATTTAGAGCCATGTGAGTTAGGAATTCTTTGGGATGGATGTTGGACAAGGACAAACTAAAAGATGATTGCTGCCTTAAGTACTTTGGAGGCCCAGCTAAGCCAGACAGAGTGGTAGTCCTAGCTGATAGATTAACCATATGAATGAAGAGCTTTTTTTGAGAGGAATGAAAATAGTTATGTCTGCTAATGTTGTAATGAAGCAAGTATTTTACATACCTTGTATTGCAAGTGCATCTATGTTTATTGCTGCTCATAAAATTCTGTCTTGGCCACTACTTAATTCTTTGTAAAGGATAATGAATTTTACTTGGAAATCTAGAATGCTCTATAAAGATACATGCTGGTTTCTTAGTTTTTGAGAATGGAGAAGTGCAAATGAGAATATAGTGATTTATTTAATGTACATAAATCACTGATGAATGTCAGGAGCATCTCTCCTTGGAAATGTTCAAAAAAGGTCTCGTGATACTTTTCTTCTGTTACTGTTTAATGAATAATGTCCAGAAGAGACAACAAGGAACTTGCACTATGTAGACTGGACCATCCTGACTGTGTGTAACAATTAGCATCCTTTGAAATATTTAATTTTCTTGCTAGAAATGAATCCTTACACTTATCTGAAGTTTGAGTTGATACAGGGGAAGAAACTAGTTTATACTGATTTCACCTTTCTCTCTGACTTTCAGCATGCTCATCTTGAAGAATACTATTCTGTAGGGGTTGGATAATTTTTCTGTACTTGAGTTTTTTTCTTCTTTTTTTTCCCCCTTAGTGTTGTTTACAGTTACGTTTCCAGTGAGATGTTTCAGTGTAAATGTGTCTGATTTTCATATTATCCAGAGCAGTCCCTTGCCCAGCTGGAATGGAAGTTCTCCATCTCCTGGCTCCAGGTGGAATTGCAGTGCTTTCTGTGCTGGCTGATTGATCCGTGGTTTTGCTAAGTGAGCTGTTTTGCCGGCTCTGTGTTGTAGGAGGAAAGCTCCAGGAAGAGACGGCTGCCCGTTGTAAGCTCGGTAGTCAAAGTGAAAAAGTTCTGTAATGATGGAGAAGATGAAGAGGAAGAGGAAGACTATGGATTGCGAACAGGAAGCATCTCCAGCAGTGTGTCTGTACCTGCAAAGCCAGAAAGAAGGTACTGAAGATCTCAGTGTTTCTGAGTTCTCAAGAATTACTATCATGAATGAAAACTTTGGAAGTGGGGAAAATCAGTTTGCACTTTCAATAATTGACAGACAAACTTTAGTAAACCATTTTAATATTTTTTGTACTATCTCACAACTCTGTGAATGAGATGCCTGTTTATGCAACCCTTTTGCCTTTGATCTTGTAACCTCTTTTCATTATTGCATGCAAGATGCAATGAAGTGTGACTTTTGACATTATTTGGGTGAAGCTTACTGGCAAAAGAACATTAATGTTGACATGTTTCAGACCAGGTATTTATTGTGGTAAAATAACTTTTCAGTAATTTGATTTATTTTCAGGAATTGTTTTCAAACCAGTTATCACTTGTCCTTTTAAGGTGATTTCAACTTTTCAGTCTTCAGAGGTTTTTCCTTTTTTTCTGTTCCCTAATTCTGTCTCAGTGTCAGGTATTAGTCAAAATACCTATCTTTTGTATTCGATTTTTAACAATAGAGTTAGAACATATAAACTAGAGAAGAGATGGGTCTAGTGCTAGCTTGTATAAGATTTATTTTGACCTAATACACGGTATTTAATTTATCTTCAGTACCACAGCACATTGGTCTGATTTAAGTTTCCTTATTGTTGATGTTAAAGACAAGCAGAAGGCCTTTTTCTACAAATAATGTTTTTGATAGAGTCAGTCTAATTATGTAGATGGATCATATTTCTCAGAATGGCTGCATAATTATTTGTGCCAGCAAAAACATAGCAAGATACAAGTGGTGGGCAGAGGTGGAAAGAAATTAATGGCAGAGAATGCTTTTCATGGCATGGTTTTACAGAAGCTTGAGAGGTGAAATCACACATCTGGACTTCCATTTCTTAGAGCAATTTGTGGATCTCCAACCACTGAGAGAATAGATGAACTGAAAACTGTTTCGGATAAAATAATTGTAGATGATGATTTCTGTTAATATTATTCCTTTGTTAACATGTTAAAACAACTGTCTTTAGCGTGGATACGATTGGTGTGCAATCCATGTACAATTCATTTTTTTTTTTTATTTCTTTTAGACCTTCATTGCCGCCTTCAAAACAGGCCAATAAGAATTTAATACTGAAAGCAATCTCTGAAGCACAGGAATCAGTTACAAAAACAACCAATTATTCCACTGGTAATTAGCATTGATTTTTCTTGTGTTAAGCTGTCCTATTTCCAAATTCTGTTGTATAAATCCAAGCTAAAGAAAGTGCTTAGAGATAAAACAGAATGCTAAATAGCAAGTCACTTATACATGAGGGATTTACCGTGTCCTGCTTCATTACATTTATGTTCAGTGAGGATTTGTGAAAACATAAACGAGGGGGAGAAGCGGTATTTAAAATATACTAATCAAGATAGTAAGTCTGTGAAGTGCATAGATACAAAATGGAAGTGCCCAAAGTATTCTGAAGTCAATAGTCAGCAAGGGGAAATGAATCAGAATAAGCCAGGTGGTTTGAACTATTTACTTGGTCTCTTTTCCCTTTCTTCACATTCCTTCTTCCTGCTGAGAGGGGAGGAGAAAAAAGCCAAACAGCAAAAAAAATGAAAATGCACTGGATATAGATACTAGAAGTGCAAAATAATAAGGAACAAAGTGATTGATGTGTATCAGGGTATGTTGATAAGTATCAAGCTGTGTATGATGATGTCTATTGTCCTTTAACAGCAAGGCTGCAGTTTCAGTTCAGTGATTTTAGTTGCAGTTGACACAGCAGTTGAGCAGTTGTCTGTGAGTAGGCATTCAGTTCTCTTAGCTAGGAGAAAAAGCCTTCTGAAAAGACCAAATCCAGCTATTGTCTCTTACTTTCATTTCACTGGGTGTTGGTAAATCTACATGTTGTCAGCAGGACACATTACACCTTGCCAGGGAAGGAACATCCACTAAACTATTTAAACCATGACTTTTATACCATCTGAAGTCTCTTGCCTGCTCTCTCTCAAATTCTTCCAACTGTAAGAAACAGAACTTTGAGAGAATGTAGGAAGCTCTTCCCTGTGTACAAAGCAGCATGGTAGGAAATGATACATAGCTAGAAAAGTCTAAATTAATTAAAACTGTCAATCTTTTTAATAGTGGTGATCTTGTAGTTCGACGTACCAATATGAGAATATTTCAGTGAAGAGACCAGAAGGCACCACTTAGTTGTTTAATATGGAGGTGATTTGTGAATTTTAACTGAAGTATCATGCAGATTCTTTCACTTCAGAAGTAATATTTAACATATTTTTTGAAGTATTTTGAATGGAATATGGAAGTAAGCTAATTTAAAACACATAAAACAGTAAAACAAAACAGTAAATTCATAAGTAATTAATCCACTACTTGAGTGGTACCTTTTAGTTGTTTGTGTCAGAAGTTGAATGCTAATCTGATACTCAGCCAAGGGAAAAGTTTAGCTTCTCACAATCAGCTCTGACAGTCTTAGCAGAAGCCAAGTAAAGAAGTCAATCTGTTGTCCTACTACCCCCAAATTCCAAGCCACAGCGATCTGTACAGAGGTTTAGAACTATCAGAAAGGAGGCTGTAGTTTGGTCAGGGTTGATCACTTCCCAAATAGCAAGTGGTAGGACTAGGGAAGGGGCCTCAGGTGGTCCTGGTGGAGGTTAAGACTGCATATTGGGAAAAAGTTCTTCATGGAAAGGGTGGTCAGGCATTGGAACAGGCTGTCCAGAGAAGTGGTGGAGTCACCATCCCTGAAGGTATTTAAGAGGTGTAGATGTGGCACTTAGTGATATGGTTTAGTGGTGCACTTGGTGGTGGTGGACTAGGCTACAGTTGGACTTGGTGAGGTCTTTTCAAACCTAAGTGATTCTATGCTTCTGCTGCCATTAAGTTTTGTATTTTATTTGCAAGCACTTCAGCAAAGGATAAGCCAGCATCATATGAAGAACCATATTGATGATCCATGATTACTTATATGAAAGATGGAATGAAAAGTGATTTCAAAACTATCAGAAAGTACCACATTAATTATATGTAGAAGTGGATTAATGAGTACTTTGCTGTTGTCACTCTAATCCTCCTCATGCTGTTTTGTCTTACAAGTAGGTGTTCTGAGATGCCACTCAGGGTGCTCTGTGCACATGCAGGAGTATACTTGAACACTAAGAATTTTACAGGTAGCTAAAGATGATTTTTGAGGAGACAGATGCTTGAGATTTTTCTTTTTGTGTGTAGGAATTTGTGAGAGTTATTTTAGAGCAATATATCTAAAAACAGTGTGATTGGGTACTATCTAAATGATTTGCCATTGTTTCTCTGTTTAAAGTTCCACAGAAACAAACTGTTCCTGTTGCACCAAGAACTCGAATTAGCCCAGAAGAGTCACAGTTAGAAGTCATTCATTTGCAAAGCCGACTGCCTGTTCTGAGTTCTCAACTTCAAGTAGAAGAGTCAAAGGAGCAGACAGTTGAAGAATTTCAAGGTCATCTGATAATATTCTTTAAGAATTTATACTAGGGGATATAATTTTTGTGACATGTCACTAAAGAAGAATTTTGCAGAAGCACTTACATTTGGATAGTTTCTCTTTTCCCCATCCTTTGCATGTTTTCCTTAATATCTTGTAGAAGTAATTCTGTCACAAAGCCTAAGTGAGAGTGAAGATACTATAGAGTATTTAGAACACATTTCCAGTGTATGAAGTATTAAAAGATTCTTTCAACACATGGTTTCCACACTAACAGTTCTAGTGTTTTATTTTTCAGTTTAAATATAAGAATATTTTATTTGCTCTTATAGGACAGCTGATACCAGGCTAACTGTGTCAGCTTTGGTTTTTACTTCTGTTTTGAATCTCCTAAAGGACATAATATTTAAAGGCAATCAAAGTACTTTCTCAGCATGATTTTCTTATAGAGGATGGGGAATAGTCACAAAGAATCATAGAAGTCACATAGAAGAAGGGCAGGGAAAAAATATTTCTATAGCAAGTACTTAGTTTATACTTGCTAAGTGTTTAGATATTTGGATTATGAATAAAATTTACATCATCCTATGGTCATTGTAAAGGAATGGTGAACATCCATTATTTAAATAAGATTTTTGCAGTTGCTTATTCCTAATATAGGTATATTTGGAATCTTTCTGCTACCCTGAAGTAGTTGAAATTGTATCTGAAAAGGATGTGAGAAAAAGCTTTATCAGCCTTTGAATTAATGCACATAGTATAATTCTGCTAAATATTTTCACTCTTTTGCCATTGAAATGGAAATGATAACTTGCTTAGGAAATCTACAGAAAGCAAAAATAAAAACTTTTAACCATATCTCAAATGTAGAACAGTGCTTCTCTGATTCACTTCAGCTCTTTTAAGAAGACTGTAAAGTAGTCCCTTGTTAGTTGCTTTCCTCTGTGTGTGTTTTCTGAATGTCCAGCTCCTCCACAAATGAGGAGGAGCAACTTGGCCTTCATCAGTTGCTGTGCCCACAGACGTCATTTGTACTGAGCAGAGATTATGGGAACAAGTAGTGTCCTACAGTACTTTGATTTTGCCATGTTACTGTTTCTGAAACAATGAGAAAAGGGTTCATAATAATGAGAATAGCTTTTAAAAGTGTTTGAAGTGTGAATGTTTTTGTTGTTGATTTTTTTTATTGAAAGAATTAGAGAGTGCGCCCCAGTTCTCTAATCTATAGTTTCATGTTGTCCTCCTGTAAAATATGCTTCTTATTGCTGTTTTTTTCAGGAGTTGAACAAAAGGAGCTCTCTTGTCGGCTTCAGATTGATCCTATGATTGAAGATGTCTTGCAAGTGACTCAGGGTTAAGTCTTGTGATCTTTTATTTTCAAATCTAATATTACTGGCCAGTGAATATTAAGACACTCCTTTTCAATTAATTATGCTGATTTCTACAATTATCTAGTTTCTACATCTCTAAGGAATAAACGCATTACATTAGTAGCTGTTCAGAGGACGAGAGATTTGGAGGGGAAGGGGGGTTGCACCCCCTTCAAGGCTGTTTCAACATAGCCATTCCACTTATAAAGTTTCCTGATCTGAGCTAATATGGCTTATGGCTTCTGTTGATCCACCTCTGTAGAATTAACAGGGAAGTAAAAACTTTTACTGGAAACTACTAGGAACAAATTAAAGTAAGATTGGCTTATTGACCACATAAATTGATACTAGAAATATGCTATAAGTTAAGAGCACAACTGCCACCTTATTTTACACTTCTCTATGTAATTTTTCTCCCAATACAGATTACTGTGACCCAGAGTCTCTGGTCCACTCAGATACTCGGTCCTTTATCCTGAAGAAGCCCAAGTTATCAGAGGAGATGGTGCTGCAGAATCAGCAGTTGGGAAAGAAGGGTACAGAGGCAGTGCGAGTTCACTCAGGACGTCTGATACAGACACGGTGAAAAGATACTTCATTTTGGACAGTTGCTAGTCAAATTGCGTGTTTGTGGTTTAAATGGAACTATTTGGTCAGACTTGTGCTTTGTCAGTTCAGTCAGGAGGTGTGAAACCATTCAAAATGGACTGACTTTAAATAACAGAAAAAAAAAAAGCAGGGGCAAGAAGCCTCACAGAAATCCTTCTCAATGGAAAATAATCCTATGATCAACTGTAGCTTAAGCATGTCTTTGATTTGCAAGAAAGAAGAAGGAACTGAAAAGTATTGCTCTTCTGTTCTGACTTCTGAAATCTTAGTCAAGTAATCATTTTGCTTAAATTGCCTTTAGTTTTATACCTGTTCCACCCTTGGATTACATTTCTTAAGAAACATATTTTAACATGGTACTGAATGTGGTGAATCCTGGACAATGATTTGACCAGGAGGAGCTTAAAATTCATGTCACCTTCAAAGTTCCAGGTAACAACAAATAGTCCTACCTTTTACAATTTAAAACCACTCTGAACAGCGTGATGAACTTCATCACATGGGCTGCTGTGCTTGAAAAACTGCTGGTGTTTCCTTTCTGTGAGTGGCTTTCAACAGCCTGTGTTAAATGGAAAAAAAACCTGAGCAAACAAACCCAGAAGGATAACCTGGCAATATCACAGTCAAAAGCTGTGACTCTGCTATAGGAGAGAGGTAAATTTTTGCATGTGAATAGGTCAGGTTTTGACTGCTTCAGTCTGAAAGTTGTAATTTGTGATGTTTTTCATGTTCTGGCTTTTGTCCTCTTAAAGGCATTCTACAGTGTAGTTGCTTTTAGCCTCACTTCATAGGGAAGCAAAGTTTATCTCGTTGCTGTTTGTCCAAGATGAGAACTCCACAGTCCTCCAAATACTTAGAATCACTTGTCATTCAGAAATCCCTCTGGTGAAATGGATGGGATGGTGAAAGGCTGGAGAAAGTGTACGTGTTCCCTGCTCTAATGCTCCTTCTTACCCATGCTGACTACTGTCAGATACAGGACACTAGGCTGTTAGTGTCTGACCTTTTACTCAGGCTATGTCAAAGTTTTTAGTATCAGTATTTCAGTTCTCTCATCCTAGTTCTAAAAACTTTTATACCACTGTTTCATAATGTTCTTTTCAGTAATTTTGAGGAGACACATGTTTGGTGTGTTAAAAGGTTTGTAATTCCAAGAATGGTATTTGCTCTCTTTTTCTCCCTCAAAACTGCAGATTCCAAAGAATTGAATGTAAATGAGTTTTTTGGATCTGTCTGTTGAGCAGAATGCAACAAACTGAACTTGTTACCTGAGAGCTGTAGTTCCTGTTAGTGCCTCAGGGAGACTAGAAATCTAACTGTTAAATGGAGTGCATTACAAATAATTACTAAAAGAAGGTCTGTTACTGTTTGATTGATAAGCTTGTGCTACTTTTACTCACCACAGCTCACATTTACTCAAACTTCTTGAGTCAGAAAATGTAAATTTACTACATTTCTTTCTTTGCTAGAGACCAGCTTGCACAGCCAGAGAAACCTGCTAGTCCCAAGTTCATTGTGACACTGGATGGTGTGCCCAGTCCACCAGGATACCTCTCTGATCAGGATGAGGAAGATATGTGTCTAATGGAAGGATTAAAGCCAGTTACCCAGCACATGTGTGCTGGCAAAGGATTGAAAGGTCTTCGAGCACAGCAGATGCAGATTGTAACCAGGCAGCTGGAGAACTGTGACGGTAATAATGCTGACCAACAGGATCTAACCTTGGTGTGCTGCTTGATCATGGCTACACCTTCTGGATTTATCATTCTTAAGAAACCAAAGTGGTGGTGTTGTTCCCAAACTAGAGCATTATTTAGGCAAATGAAATCTGGGAGTTCAGTGGGACCATCTCTTCAGAAGCTTTTGTCTTGCTATACTAGAACAATATGGCACATGGTAGTTCT